GCGCGGTAGAGAAATGTGCTAAGAATGAAAAAATGGATTTTGACGTCAAGGGCGGAGCAGCGAACATGCCTAAAATTTTGTGTAGCGCAATGTAGAACTCTTTTCCAGCCTCAACGACCTGTTATAACAATAACTACGAGAAAATATGTGTTAGGTTTGTTATTTCATTTGTATGCATTTAAAAAAAATAATAATTCAACCGGAGTGAAATCGAAAGCTCCGGACGACCATCAATTATTACGTACGATATTAATATCGTTACGGTATTTAAATATCGTTGACCCGCGTTGCATAAATCGTCACTGCATGATTTTATGTCATATTTTCCCAAAATAAAAATTTTATATTCGAGTAGCAACAGCCTCCATTTTTAAGGAATAATTTAAGGAAAGAGACTGTTTGATTTTTGTACTGTTATATGTAAATACAAAGAAGGAAAAGTATTATATATAAACGCTTCCCGATACATGCGGAACCATCTTCGGCTGAAGTGACGTTAAATGACGTAGTGATACATGTATGTTTATCATTTCACCGAAACTGTTCTTATTATCATAGGATTTCGAAATTTTGCATTAGTATTTTATTCATTCTTTATAAAATGTCGATGAATTTTCATGAAAGTATCTCTGTCCTTTATGGAGTAAATGTGATTGTCTCAATAATTTCCGAACAGCCCTCGTACTTTAAAAATATTAGTTAATATTTCAATAGAAATATAAATATAAACATATCACACTCAGCAAAGGTTTTCAGGTAAAAATAAATTTCAGAATATATAATCTTGGTGCTAAAAGTGCATTATAAACTTAAAAAAAAAATACCAAGCCAGGTGAATTATATGGGAAAAGCAAAATGGTAAATATCAGATTATGTGGGTTTTTTATACCCCCCGCAAACGAAGTTTAGGGGGGTATATTGGAATCACCATGTCCGTCTGTCCGTCTGTCTGTAGACGAGATTTTGTCCAGACCATTACTCAGAAAGTATTGGAAGGATTTGTCTGAAAATTTGTACACATATTATTCACCATATGAAGGTGTGCACCTGATATTTTCATCTTGATTTAATTATTATTTTGAATTTTACAGGTGTTTTTTTATTTTTATTTTGTGGTTTTGTCCGAACCATTTCTCAGAAACTATTGCAAGGATTAATCTGAAAATTTGTACACTTATTATTCACCATATGAAGGTGTGCACCTGGAATTTTCAACTCTTTTGGTTCATTTTTCTGCATTTTACAGGTTTTATTTTTTATTTAATTGACTTGCTCATTTTGGGCTCATTTATAAGGTTTGAGACATAGAATCTAGAATATCTGTACAAAAATGTGAACTACAGCTTAAAACTACTCATAATTTTTTTTAAAAAGAAACATCATCAAGTGTTAAAAACAGTTTTTACATTGCACAGAAGATAATGTAATTTCATTTGTCTCTTGGGAATAATATCTGGACATGCATCCAGTTATAGATAAATTAATGAGTTTGGTGTGGGAAGTTGAACATTAAGGCATCTCATTATCAACCATGAGTTATCTCCTGGGAATCGGGCACAAGAATTAAAGATCTCTCTTCTCTTGCAGAGTGTCATAACACATACATGTAATTGCAATATATTTTTTAATGCAGAAATAAAAAATAAAATAAAAAAATAACGTTACAATGGAATAACAATGTATTTAAGTATTGATGTTTCATTTGATTGCACCTTTGTTTCATTCATTAAGAAACATGATGAGCAATTATATTTTACTGCAAATTTTTTTGTAAGTAAATTGTGAACACCTCTAGATCCATAAAGTATTTTTGAATTGGCACCTCTCTGAAAAACCCAGCGGGGGGTATTTGTCCCTATTGGACAGTTCTAGTTTTTTTTTTTTTATCATTTTGATTTTCCTCTTAAAATTCACCTAATTTTTTGTTATGTTGTTTTTAAATGTTACACTTTATTACACTTATTACACTCAAAGCGCCAAGATAACATATTCTGAAATTTATTTTCATCTGTAAACCTTTACTGAGTGAGATTTGTCCATATTTGTTATTGCAAGAATTTCATTTTTCTGAACCTGTGATATGATATAAGTCTCCCCCAAAGAAAAAAAATGTGTTTATATCATCTGTTCTTAAATCACTATTGAAATCATTTTTTAATCACTTTTCAAATCTTTATTTCAGTTTTCAATACTATTTTAATAGTGGTTGCAACCTGGTTTAGGTTTCGAAATGCATCTAAAACCTCTTTTGACATCATTGTTTCAATAGTGAACGTTGTGGTTGCAATCTGTGTTTGTTTTGAAATACACTTTAGCCTCTATTGAAATAAATATTTGCATTTTACATTTTTTTCTTTAATTTAAAAGTTTTAATACAACAGAAAAATGATTCAATATATTCCCCCTAATTTTAATTTTTTTTAATACATTTTCAAGATCTCAAAACATGATTACATGAATTTATTTGCTTACTATATATTAAAAATATGTTTTAATGGTGTAATCTATTCTGTGGATTGACTGTAAAGTGTCCAAACACTGTTGTTGATAAACGTTATGTTTTGAACTATGAATATTTTATGCAATTTATGTTTTCAGATAGATAATATTCAGTGATTATTATAAAACAGTTTTGTTGTACTTCCTGACTGCAGTAAAATTTAAATAAAAATTAAGACCACAGAACACAAAATTTTTAAGTGTTGGCAACTATCAAGATAACGAGATCGTGCAATATTTATAATCCTATACTTTATGGTTAAAACATAAATAATACAAAAGTGTTGAAATTTGGCTTCATATCCTGAATATTATTATCTATATTTCGCAAAACAAAAATGGCACGAATATATTTAGAAAAATGTATTTTATACTAAATAAATATACTATATTTTCCTAGCTTCAAGTGACAAACACAGTCATCCAGAAACACTCTACTCAGCGACTTTTTCTTTATATTTATTCATTTTTGAGTAATGAAGTTTTTTACATTCTTGTTGCACTCCTGACGAAGAGCATTTATATAGGAGTCTATAAAGACATAAACTCATTCTGAGATACATTTCACGTTCTGGTTTGCGCTCTACTTTAAAGGGAGATGGACACAGTTTCGGCTAAATAATTTCAAATTTCTTTTTCCATTTAATAATAAGCTTTTTTTTTTAATGAACCTGTAATATGATATCAAAAGTTTGAATTTCAGTTTTCGAGAAACAAGAAGCTCCAATTCATTAATTGTTATGAAAACAGGGACCGTGTCATGCTTTGTTTGCACAGGTTAAATATTCAAATTTATGCTCGTTCAAAGCTGATTTTTATATTAAAGGAGTTAATTCTAAATACAATTAGTCAGTTTCAGGAGATTTGCTGACTCTCATTTTGTTATGAATATGATATTTTCTATATGTAAACAAAAACAAGGCATGATCCTTGTTTACATTATGAAGGATTTTCAGTTCTGTATCTTCTATATAAATCAAAAAATGATGTTCAAATTTTTGCTGATCATAAGAATTGCCTTAGAAACTGTAAGCATAAAAATTGGTTTAAAAATCCAGTTGAAACTGTGCCCATGTGCCTTTAAAAATTTGCGTTTTTGTAAAGGAGTACAACAGAACATAAGAACTATGGATGATAAAATATGAATACAAGTATGAAGAAAGAAAAAAATGGGTAGAACGTTCATGTTTAACCTCATCTGCTAACAATGTTAATCACATGAATTAAAATGTCCTATAAAGTATACTTTAAATCCTAAATATACTAATTTAGTCTTTTAGCTGTTTTTTTGTGACATTCATAGGCAATACTAGTAGTTCAAGATATAAGTTTAACAATTTTATGCATATAAACAATTAAATACGTGTGTTTTTGGTATATAACGACGTAATTTTGATAAAATTTAATATTTTGTGTTCTGGGTTTTTTATTTTTTTTTTCTGTCAGGAGTGCAATAAAACTGTTTCATTAATAATAATTCTCATCTCCTTTTACTAAAAAATAAATTACAGAATGTGTTTGATTCTATTTGTAGTTGAAATCATTAAGTCATTAAATTTTTTAACAAATTACTAGTACACGTAGATATTTTACGGTTTACTAGCATTCCCAGAATAGTTTTCATCAAACATGTATTTTTATATTATACATTACACTAGCGTCAAAATTTGAATTTAAAACTTCTGTAAATATTTAACAAAATATCTAAACGACGAGTTGCTAATATAAATTATTGAGTGTTATATTTCTAACATATTTATTTTTAGAAAAGGATAATATAGTCATCAGGAGCGCAATACCATAAGGTAATAAAAAGAGGTCACTTTCAATTATTTTTCAGTTATTTTGTAAGAAATCAAATATATCGAAATATATTTTCCCCTTAAATTGGAAAACGCGGACTATATGAACTAAAAAGAGATTTGAGGGGATTCAATGTAAATTTTTCCTCCACATCAAAATTTTCCATACAAGACATGAGACGATCAATAAAAAATAATAAAATTCCAGTTTTTAAACAAATACAAGAGAAACTCCAGCAAGATGTAGATCTCAACATTTATATCTCTGACACAAGTTTGAAAAATAAAAAAGCATACTAATAGATAATATATACACATGCATTTTAAATCCCTTTTAGAATGTAGAAATATTTTAATGAATATCTATTTATTGTTTTTGTTTGTTGTTTAACGTCACTCTCGAGAACTTTTCTCTCATATGGAGACATCGCTAACTAGCGGAGAGCTGCAAATTTGACCTATGCTGGTCACTCAGGGCCACTGAACAGTGATCAAGGGATCTTTTCCTTGCCAGCAGATACTGCGACATGGGACTTTGATTCATCCAAAGGAACTGGTCTTCACGTCCCACAGCACAAGATTCGAACTCAAAACAAACACTATTGTATGCGATGGTCTATTCTATTTTAGCTAGACTGTCAATAAATCAAATACTACGTATATCACAGATCACCTAGAAATAACCAATAACAACGATCCTTCGTTTTTATATATTTATTTCACAAATGTTTCTGTTAAACACGTAGAATACATATATTTTTATTATATATACCTATGTCATTTCTGACTCTTTACAAAAGTGTCACATGATAATAACAAAAACCATAGATAACATAGATTTCTAATTCACCAACAAATCTGGGACGACTCTTATCTAACGAAGCGCCCATGTAAAAGCACTGAAGAAATGGGCAAAAAATAAGAAACTTGAATTTTTAAACAGATGCTACACACCACATATACACAATGAACTGAAAACTAAATGAAACAAAATGACCTTTGGAGGAAAAAAATATGTATATATGAATGTTGGCTGTATATTGCTCTATCCGTGACCTCTTGTCCGGAAGTGACCCTAAAATCGTCACCGGAAGCACCAAGTATTATTTGATTTGACTGCATGATGGTTCTAAATTTAATATTAATACTTTGCTGCTTGCTGAACTTTAAAATATATCATGGGGAAACTCTAAAAAAAAAAATCCTTTTTTTGAAACTTCTCAGTACTAAGGCTTCCTGGGTGAGCGGCGTGCATCATATTTCTACAGTGTAAAATATAAACTTGTGTAATGAAAAACAAACAACGAATGCATTATCAATATATATAGAACTATATATATAATAGCATAATAATAGCTAACTCCTGTGATTAAAATAGGTAAAAAAAAAAAAAAAATAAACAACGAAAATAAGAATGGCATCGTCCATCCAATCATTCGCACATTCAATATCACATCAAAATTTCACGTTTATCACATCTGAGCACAATTTGAATGACCTGCCACGAAAATTAATCAAACACAATCTCTACTAGCTACAAATATACAATTTTTATAATATGTATTTACAAGTATGTACCACAAGATAAAAGTTGTAAGAGATCAACTATTCTACCCAATCCCCTGTAGTGTTAGAATATTATTATTTAAGAGAGAATTAAAACTATTAACTATTGAATCTAGTAATTTTTTTTTTATATGGTCACCTGATTACCAAATGTAAAGCATGGTCAGACATATATATGTGTAATTAATTTGAAAACACCATCAAACGACTTATTTTAACAAAATGAACAGTTTGTACAGCTCTACTTTTTATAAAGTTCGAAATCAAAATGACCGAGAGGAAAAAATATAGTAAAGAAAAAAAATAATTGAATTTCAAGTGAGCAATTACTATAATAGAAGGAATATTTAATGATACTTAGCAAAAAATTTAGTTCATAGAGAAAACTGGTGTGTGAACCAGTTCTGCTGTCGAGATAGCAAACTGCTTAAAATCACATCACTTAGAAAAACACATTAACAAACAAAAAACAAAAAAAAACAAACAACTGAGAACAGTAGTGGGTAGTGTTTGCATCATGGTTTTCTAATACTTTTTATATTCCTACCCTGATTACATTTGCGATATTCCATTCCCTAACCCGATGAGTGATACAATTGCATGTCTATAACAAATACTTGCTTGGATTCAAAGAAATACAAGAGAGTGCCAGCTAAAGGAATTAATTTGGCCTTATACAAGTTTGAAGATAAAAGTACATCCAGGACCATGTTCAATAATCTAAGATGGAGGATGTTAATAATGCAAACACTACTCACTTTTTTTAACTCAAGTACAATACCAACACATAGAGGCACTTTTTCTAGAGCTACAGAATCAAATACCTTGTACACAACAAATGGGCATAAGCACAGGTCTGTTAGAACTCAATGCATTTAGATCAATACAGAAGGAAAAGGTTAGAAAGATAAGAAAACAACCAAAGCTTAAAATAAACAGACTAGTATTAGTCTAGTTACACTTATTTTACATGTTTTGCTTAGTGTTTAATTACAAGCTGTGGAAAATATACCTGAATGTCAAAAAGTCAGTTGTAGGGTTAAATATTCCTCCAGCAAGGACAAAATTGCAAAAATTAAATGTTAAAATTTTTCCTTATTTACATATTACAATGATTCAATTGTTCAATTTTGAAAACATCAATTTTGTTAAAAACAAACAACAAAACTGTTTCAACACTTAAAATTATCCAGGCAAGTTTTTTTTTGAATCAATTTAGCTGTAACAATTCTTTTGAGAGAGCCTACCATTTGATAAAATACTGCATTTAGAAATATAAGGCATCTTTTTTTCTCATTTGCTGCTGCTGCAAGATGAAAAAAAGAAAATCTGACCACCGGAACTCACCAGGATGTAGTCCTAACGTTAAAAAATCACAGATAAACAGTGTAAAACAGCATGCATATCAGCCTGACTGTAAAGAAAAGATAACTCCTGACTTCAAAGGGAAGATAACTGACTCCACATGGTTTGTGGAACAGGTAATTTCTTAACCCTGCAGTGATGACCTAGCCATTGGAGCAGGGGATCAACATTTAACAGAAAAGGAGGTATACTAATATATAACTGTTTGATAATCTTCAGGTGTCTAATTTACATTTAATGAGAATTGTTTGAAGTTGTATGAAAACAAATAGTATCTATAGAAAGCTTGCATTTGGTGGAGTGGTGAAAAAGGATTTGCTTTTGGTTCTAATGATTTGCTTTGGTTTCAATTTGGGAGAAATTCTACGAGTGTCTGTGTGTGTGTGTCTTCTTTTTCCAATTTTTTTTAAGAGTTAGAAAAGTGTTTTCAGAAAAATTGCTGAAGCAAAGTTATCTATTCCAGGTTAAATAAACAGTTATATAAGAAATAATGTATGAAATATCGAAGCTGCTATGATTGATTGAAAAAAAAATCAGTAAATGAAATTGAAGAGGAAAATGCCACACACATGAAAATCTACATCATTTCAAGTTCTACATTTTGATTTGATTAAAAAGAAATTAAAACAAACAACCTTTATGCAACAATGAAATAAAATACTGCCGGCATGATAAACTCAACACTTCCTTTATAGAGGTGTTTGATACATAATTGATATACATATTTTCATTTTATGTAACATCATGTAGATACAATTCATCATTAACAATATTTACATCAAAATAATCAAAAACAGAGATGAAACAAAACAAAGTTCTACCATCATAGGCAGCCTATACAACGCTGTATGAGTAGCCTCCCTTAGCAGAGTGATATAATGCGACTTTATACATCTACATACAGGTTAAGGAAAGAAAAACATCATTTTATCAGTACATAATCCCGTGTCTTAAGTTGTATGGATGTGAAAGAAGGAGCCTGGAAATATTTACAAGTCCACACAAAATATACAGATAATTATATACAGTGTTTTAGTGTGTGATTTTTATGACCTCATGATTGAGCAAACACAAGAGTGCTGTCTGACAGGATTAATACTTCTTTACATTCCAAAACCCGATCATTCACCAAGCGTACGATTTACAAAAACATACTGATTCTACTGCTAAAAATTTTTTTCTACACATGATAAGAAATCAGTAAAACATAGATTAGAAAGTATATAGTTCTTGGCCATAATTTTGATACCAATATTAAAAAAAATTCTTTCAACAATGAATTTCAGGCCAAAAAAAAAGCGTTTTTTCATCCAAGAGACATATTCCGGTTTTTAAATGAACTGATTAGTCAATGCCCTAAATACCTAAATACATTTTGTCAAATGTTGTCATTAGAGAGAAAAGGAAAATCTCATTTGTCACTTAATTAAAAATATAGGTCATTAGAATGGATTTATGGGAACAGCCATCTAAACTTCAAACATGGATTTGCGTAGGTTGGGGGTGGGGCACTAAAATTTGTCAGAGGACTAGTCAAAGACAGATTTCATTAGGTGTCTGAAATTGACATCTCTTCCTATAAATGAGTTTCCATAGCAACAACTGTCTCTAGATGCTCTAATCACAAAATGAGATTTGGTGAAACTTAACTGGATCCATTGAAAGAGTAAACTCCTGATGATTCATTGAAACAGAGAGAAATATGATGAAAAATTATAATATCTGAGGCAAGAATGGTCGCTTTAACATAAACTTCACAGTTAACGTAATCTTCACACAGGCATGCAGATAATGGAAAAATCAATGAAAATGTCCTCGTTCTGAATGTCAGATTCTCTCTGAATTCTGCCTCATGTGTAACTTATGTAACTTATAAGTACATGTATGTATTTTCACAGACATTCAGTTCTAACATCCATAAGTTGAAGAAATTCTTGATTTTGAAACCAGTCACAGAGACTGAATGTAAATGATCTGCATCACCCAAAGGATTAAAATAAGCTATCAATCAACATTTGCTTGGATTAGATGATATAAAGATGGCATATTTCCCTCCCACATCTTTCTTTAAAAAGAAGATACAGGAGAAACTGACAGGTTTAAAATATGAAGAAAAAAAAATCTTGGAAATACATTAGTAATGCAAAGGAGCATACCTGTCAAAACAGCACATCAACTTTAAACTGAGAAAATGAATCAATGAAAATTAAAGCATAATTACATTAGGAAAAAATACTTTGCTCCAATATTTTATAAAGTAAAACAGTTTTCAACATTTTTCATTTAAAAAATTTTGTTTTCCCCACAAACTAACATGGTGGGAAAAAAACACTTTTAAAAAAAAATTAACAACAATAAAATCATTACCTTCATTAACAACTCTCATCAAATCATTTGACAGATGTTAATTCAATTAACACCTCATGAAAAACTGCATATTAGAAATTCAAGAAATCAATATGACTTTGAGAGGCTTCCTTTCTTCTAGTGAGCCATTGATAATCTGCACTTAGCACTAAATCCCCTGCCCTGCAGCTAAAGGATTTACTTTCTAATAACCTTTCTGAATTACGAAAAACAATGTTCAAAGTATTAAATTTTCACTGATGATCCCTTCGCATCATTAGATTAAAAAAAGAATATCAAAACATAAATGCCAACAAATTTTACTAATTTATCAAGAGTCGTGAAGAAATAGTCTGGTCAGTTTTTCACATCTATCAGTTTTTCAGACTTCACATACAATGATGTCATAAACATACCCACTGAATGAAAAAATCACACACTTTATTCCCAGCTCAACAAGTCAGGGATAGTGACCTAATGAAATTTCTTCAGAAATTGCAATTCATCGTTCTGTATCAACAGACTTTTTAAATGGCTCCATCGCTGTCCATTCCATGAGGTGTGGCTACTGTATATAGAATAAATGTGAACTCCTTGAATAGCTCTCTGTAGATGTGTTCGACACACACTTGAGTCTCCATCAAGAAATCTGTTGCAAACAGACTGAACATGCACTATTATGTCTGAGATCAATCTTTCTCCACTTTCAATGTTTTCACTCTTTTTCCTGGACCATTTGTCCTCTTACTCTGCACTGTTATCAAGTATAGAGGCTTTGTTAATTCTCACTCTAGTGTCAGCCTGCACCTCTCTTTCAGTAGTGAGTATGCAGGGCATCCTCCTACAGTATTGCTCTGTTGTTCAAGTTGCTGATTTTATAGTGCTGCCACGTTAAGAAGAATCTGGAGTCGGTCTAGGGGGGACAACAAAAATATTTTTTTTTTGTAAGACACAACAACTACTGAAATGATATTTTGATCTCCAGTCTTCTCATCACAATCTTTTTCCTATGCATTCAACTAGGGCAGAAAACCATCATTATCGAACCATGTTATTGGATTCTATAGATCCGGCTGGACCCGTGCCAACCGGATCAAAGTCAAAATCCAGACTGCCCTCCAGGTGGATTTCCTGCTGGAGCACTTTCTGCATGTCACTGTCTGATTCAAAGAAATCGGGACTCAATTCGCTCAGGGAAGTACCAGAACTGGTTTCAGAGATGACTGGCTGGGCCGCGATAACGGACTGCGTTGAGGTCATGTGTGGAGAGCCAGCCAGAGCCTGGTGAAGTGAGGTGATGACGTTCCTAGCATTCTGCGGTGAAGAAACCAAGTTGTTGTTCAGTCCATTGCTCAGACTCATGTTTTGTCTGGGCACTGGACACAGATTTGTGAAGCCTGTGCTTTGTTGTGAGGTGGAGTAGGGGACCTGATTTGTATTTGTTGTCTGTTTAGTGTACTGCGTGCTTGGCTTCTGTGTCAGGGCCTGCCTCAGTAGGGAGTCTGAAGGCGACTGCCGGATGAGGGCCTCAGAGCTCTGTTCCAGACAGCGCTGTAACAGAGAGGGCTGAGAGGGGGAGGTTGGCTGTCGATTCATCATTGGTTGCTGTGGAGACATTGGCTTCATGTTGGGCTGTGGCGAGTGCTGCTGCTGGCCATAATTCATCATATGGTTGTTGAAGTTAGGGCTCAACTGTTGTTGAGGTGAGCGTGCTGGCGAGGACATCTGTGTATTAATGCTCAAAGAACTACCAGACGGGCTTCCACTGTTCTGCTGCATTAGTAAGGCCTCTTGCTGAGAGTACATCGGGCTGTGTTGGGCTGACTGAGGGCTATTGTACATTCTTATATTCTGCTGCTGCTGCAATGGCATATCCCCAAATCCTCCATTAGACAACAAGAGTTGCTCTAAGCTTCCCTGTTGTTGAGGACTTCGTCTCATGGAATCTTGGTAGGTGGGTGGAGCTGGGAGGGTATTACCATATTGATTGCTGTCATTGAAGTTGGCACTTTGATCATTATACTGCGACATGTTCATGTTTCCATTAGAAGACATCATCTGCTGTGTTACATTCTCATTGATATTTCCTTGACTGGAGTTGAGCAAAGAGTGTACCATACCCCCTTCTATCATCTCGATCTCACTGGGATCCATCCTGAGCCCCATGTCGTCTGGTAGTCCCATATTACTATCCAGCTTCATTCCGTCCACCAGGCTGCTGATAATGGGATCGTATGGAACGTCATTGTAGTTTCCAGACGTATCCAGTTCCTGGCCCCAGTGGATTGGGGACATCCTGGGCACCTGATTATCATGAAGGTCTGGCTCTATACTTGCTGGTATTGGTGACAATCGACCACAGCTACTGGCATTAGAACTCGCTCGAGGTCGGAAGTCTGGACTCAACTGGAAACTCAGTGGTGAGTCTAGATAGTCCTCTGTTGTTGATGAGGGACTGTTGCTCTCTAGGGCGGCCCTCAGAGCCTCTACTTTCTTTTTGACCCGGCCTCGTCGTTTTTCGTAGCTTTTGGTCTCCATACTGCTGACTCTCCGTCTGGGGGTTTTGCCGGGCTTGGCATCCGGATTGATGACCCACCAGGAACTTTTGCCCGTACCTTCATTTTGAATTCGCATGAAGCGGCTGTGTAGAGACAGGTTGTGTCTGATGGAGTTCTGAAAGAACAAATAAAGCAGGTTTTACTTAACTGTGTTATAGTGAGCACCTCATATACTCTATATATTACAAACATCACAAATATCTCACAATTTAAAAAAAAACATTTAATTATAATTATTTTGAATTTTCAATAATAATACAAGAGTTGAAATGTCCAATAATAAAAATTGCTTATCATTTTTTCTCAGTTTCTAGGAATGTTTATATTAAGTATATACCTGATATAATGTGATATTTTAAACTTGATAATTATCATGGAAAGACAAATGCACAAAAGGCTCATTGAAAAGTACAAATGTATAGACAGGAGAAAAAAATTAGGGAAAAAATCTGAGTTTGAGATAATTAGAGTTTGTCACATAGAGGAGGGAATTTTTTTACAGACAAGACTTACTTAATAAATACATGTAGGATTCTGATATACTTATAGCAGAAATCTTATCTGCTAATTCTTACATCATGATAACCTTTGGAAAAGGCCATCACATCAACACGTATATGTAGACCACCACTTACTGACTAAAAAGCATCTTACTGTGGGATCCATATTAACTTTGTCATGATATTTAATATAAAGGTGAGAAGGGGAGTGTTACATTTAGCCACTGACAACATGTACTGAATGTATAAATGCATTGCCTTGCCCTTACCCCAGATGTGATTCAAAGTGTAGTATCTATTTAATTTCAAAGTTATAACTAAAGATTTACATCTGCACTGTGTGAATGTATCAAGATGAATTTCCCTTTAATACAAATCACTTCATAACCACTTCAGGGCTAAGAAGATATTTCCAGTTTGACTGGTGCAATTGGTGTTCTGCAAATATTCAAGTCATGGGCTCAAACATGACAGCAGTCAGAAAATTAGACACAAAACATGTACCTTTTACACTCAATCTCATACCTATCCCAGACTCCTTTAACCATTATGATTATCTCAGCTTACCAATTCTAAACCACTTTTCTCAATTTCATACTCATTATATATATAGGCTAAATCCCCAAGTTACCCTTTGACTCAATCTTGAAAAACATTAAGCTAACCCTCCACCCCTAGCCTCAATCTCACACCCAAACATCAGTACTGTAGTCTAAATCTTATAGCCATTCTAGCCCTCTAGCCTGGATCTCACACCAAGTCTTAACCCCTTACCCCTAGCCTCAATCTCATAAGTTAAACCATTTTCAGACCCAAGCATCATTTTTATCCATTTTAAACCCCTTATAATCCCAAATTTAACACAAAATTCTGGGACCCCCTTACCCATAGCCCTAATCCCCTATTCATTCAGATGGCTGAGTCCACCTTTAATTTTGCAACCAATAAGTCTGCCAACATCCATCTCCTACACAATTAGATCCTAGCTTATCTGACAGTCTCATACCCACTGAACACCCCCAGCCTAAAACTCATACTTATCCCTCTCCCATCCCCCATCCCTGCCTCTTATACTCATTTGACCCTTTACTTCTTGCCTAAGTCTCAGACTAATTCTAACTTACACAACATAACTCTCATTCTTAGGATACAAGACTTTCTGCTGTAACAGTTAATCGTGTGATACCAGACTTTCTGCTGTAACAGTTAATCATGTGCTACCAGACTATCTGCTGTAACAGTTAATTGTGTGCTACCAGACTATCTGCTGTAACAGTTAATCATGTGCTACCAGACTATCTGCTGTAACAGTCAATCATGTGCTACCAGACTGTCAATCATATGATACGAGACTCTCTGCTGTAACATTGTTTGAATCATCATGTGGTCTTACACAGACAGGAAACAGTAGCAGTTCCTACAGGGATCTGACCACCAAGGTTACATCCCATTCATACGGATTTCTCAGTAATTCTCACACAACAATTTACATCAATGGGGGACTCCCTCGTGTCTATAATCAGGATATTAAACATTGTGATTGGCTAATGGCTGAATGAGTGACCCCTGTCACTTGTACTTCTTAACTGAGGTCACATTTTTCTGATATTAAATCATTACATTGTTATCAAGAAACAAATCTCCACTTTTCATCCTACACTAATTGTTATTTTATAATTATAAATTGTCATTTTATTAATTGACAAATTTTGCAAATTCATCTATAAAAGGTCACTATTTTTAATAATATTAACTTTCATGTAAATTATAGTTGAGTCTGATTTGTCAAGATTTGCTAACAGAAAAATTATTGCTTGCTGAATGATGAAGCTATATCCTTCAGCCACTCATTTACATTGCTTGATGATGAGTGATATTCCAAACAAAAGTGGATGCACTGAATTTATGCATGCAAGGTTCACTGTAATATGTATATTTGTATAAAACCATACATGTTAACCTATTGTGATGAAAAATAGGGAGACCTCAAAAGCGGTAGCATTGCGCGCGTGTTGTTTAACGCTTGGATTATCGATATCTTTCATGTAATATAACATGTATATTATCAGCCACATGAAAATAATTAATCTTTAATATCAACAGCAAAGAAGAAGACAGAAACACCTTAAGTTTGACATAAATTGTACAAATTCAAATATTTTTCATGCTCATCATTTTGCTTGGATTGGCTGCTTTACTTAGCCTTTTGAAGAGTGATCTTTGCTGATATAGCCTAGAAGCTGCAATAAGTCTGAATGTTCATTCAGTTTTTAAACAAAACAAATGATGACATGGTTTAATCAAGATCTAAAACAAGATCCTATCTTTCGTTATATAAATCAGATTTCTCGCGATGATCGAAAACTAGAGATGTGCCACATGGCTTGGTCAATCGAGTGATTTCTATTGACTTTATTGATAAAGTTGTACATGTGCTTTTAAGACGATGTCAAATGTTTTCATCTAATTCTTAAAATTTTTATGGCAGGGATGTTGATTATTTTATTAACCAATGTAATCACTTTTCCTATTAAAGGGAAATTAATTTTTAATAATAAATTTTTTGCAATGTTTTGAATTACTGAAGTTGCTGAATTTCAAGAATTTGAATCCGTTTTTTAAAGCATTAAATGTTTTCGAAAGGGAAAAATAATTAAGAGTGGAAAAATTAATTTAAATAATAGTACTATTGGGAATTTCTTTTTTTATTTATGTAAAGAAAGATTTAAAACAACAAGTGTCAGCAGAAGAATATTAAAGAGCATGTGAAAAAAAATAAAATAATTTTGGTCAAATCAGGGATATAACAAATACACATGGTAAATTATGAAACCAATTAAATTACTTAGCTGATAAAAATACTTTTTTGCAACTGTATTTTGTTATATCAATGTATAAAAAGAAATTTGTTACGCCATATTATATAGCTATCCTTCCATCTCTGACGTTAAGGCCTTCGTTATATCAAACCAATCGAGCAGACAGAATGGTTATTCTGAAATAAGAAGGGTCCCAATCGAGTGGGCCCCTTGTGTTGTTGTCGTTGTCAAATCCGTGCTTGAAATCTATATACAAAAAAGCGTTTGTATGATTCCGAGTCAAATCACGCGAAAATAGTGACTGACTGAAATTAAACATGCAAAAAGGTTCACTACTTTATACAGCTTTTTAAAACTTTCAGTAAATCGGTAGGCGGGAGATGGATAATAAATTTTGGAGAGTAACATGTATGATAAAACTTTCAGTTTCATATAATAAATATTGCATGTAGTTGAGTGTAACATCGAAAACTGTCAGACTTGAAAACCATTGTCAATGTGTGTAACCTTGCTGTCCTCAGTACCCCTAGCTTTGGTAAAACTGACAATGGTTTTTCGTATAACCGAGGCCCCGTGTCACAGCAGGTGTGGCACAAAAGATCCCTCCCTGCTCAAATGGCCGAGCATAGGCCTAAATTTGCAGCCCTTCACTGGCAATGGTGACGTCTCCATATCAGTGAAATATTGTGGAGAGGGACATTAAACAGTATACAATCAATCAATCAATCAATGTGCCTTGTTTGACAACATTTTTCTAAGGGTGAAAACTTTTAATGTTAAAATCAACTACATGCAATTATTATATCTATTCAACATATTAATACTCAATTTGTATAAATGTTAGGGATGAACTCCACTTATTTTCTCAAATTGTTTGGCATCATATCTTTATTCCTGGTTGCCAAAATCATCGCTAATAATGCCAAATAAGATGCTCACCAAAATTTCCCATTTGTAAAGAAATTGTTCTTGTTATTAAGGTTTCACATGCATTTCAAATTCATTACATTCAAACTGGTTCTATGTTATGTCTCCTAATATCAAGTCTGAATTTACAGGACATTTTTATGTAACTTAAATTAATGAACTTTAAACACAAGTATCTTGGGAGAATGTGACATTTAGTGCATACAACTCTCTCTACAAAGAACACTGAATATTACACAGCGATTGCTTCCCTCTGATTAAGGACCTATTTCCTCCTCGCTGCCCCAGTGACCTACTTTTCTTCCCCTTCCTGGTCATACAGTGATACTACAAAAGCTCTGTGTCACTTACAATTGTCAGTGGAATTATCAAATCACTCGAAAATGTCTGAGTGATGCTAGACCAGGCATCTTACAATGGCTTTCAATATATCTGGTATCGACCCCACACGCAGAATGTCATATGCATGAGATGCAACTTCTTTTTAAGGTTCAAGTCTTATATAAGCATGACAAGTGTTTCATGTCAGAAACCTAATTCAGTGCTCAAATCAATTCAGAGATTCACACTGAAAGTTTCAGAGAAAAATTTTCTGAACACAAAAATTTAATTTTCATAAAAATTATTCAATGATCACCAAATTGACAAACATTCACTATACTCAGATATATAAGGAAGCATATTATAACTGTGTGACAACTCCTTTCAACATATTCAATTTCAGAAACATAATTTCCCACTTCAACCACAAATTCTTATATTTAAACATAATATTGCAGTACATATGACACATTAAAAAGTGTAAAAGCTCTGACATTTCGATTCAACATGGAGATATAAGTTGGCTACCTTGTAGTTACAGATGACTT